TGAGTGGGATACAAATGAGGTAGATTTATACTGATATACAATAAGGGAAATCCGTCCAGCTTAAAAGCTGGGATATATCCGAGGTTGGGATACAATAGGGGGAAACAAATGAGGTAGAACTGTATGTGGAAGTGTAATGCCTTGTGTTTTGTGAACAGTAAGAGCAAAAGCATTTTAAAAAGGAAATTGTGTACATGATAATGACAATGAAGCATGTTGTCCAAATGCATAAAAATATGATGTTTTGTGAATGATCTATTTTAACACAATAGCCTCTTGGATGCAAAATTCTATTTGTATCTTTGGGAATGCTTTTATCTAGACTAGCCACAACTTCAAGTCTCATTGCAAAATTTCTTGGATATCATAGTCGGGAGTTGTTTAAGAACATAACTTTAAATCCTTCATCGACCAATTCACTTGCCTCAAAAGTTCAAAGATGAAGGAAGTTATTGGAGATACTGTTGCGCGGAGAATTTCGAAGACCAATAATATAAGTATGTCTTCGAGTCTATAAGTTGCTCTTCACATAGTCTTTATATACTTCAACTTTTCTAAGGTTTCTAGATTTTTTGATGGCTTGTTCAGGCAATTTATTTTCACGATAGATTGGATACTCATACTATATGAAACGTTGGATCGTAACTTTTGCATGACGTATACTAATATCAATATTAATTATCCTTTTTTTGTGGAGCTAATCTTCTAATCTCCCAATAATAGTGAGATCCCGCTTCAATAGGTAAGATAGATAAGGTATTATATTATGCACTCGGCTTTCTTCCGCTTTATCTGGATCATCAGTGCTTAATACTTGAGAATCATCAATTAATTCATCACCGAATTCAAACGTTTTTGAGAAACATATTTCAACGTTCTGTTCAACGTTCGTAAATGTATATTAACTTGTTCTTCTAATTCAGCGAAATCGTATAATATTTCGTCATTACTCTCGTCGAGTTCTTCAAGATCACTATTTTCATCTGAATGATATTGGGCTTGATTTGATGTCTCTTGGCTTCTACTGGGTTCATATTTCAAAGGCTTTTTCTTTTTCTTTTTCATTGCACATGTCTTTTCTTGATTCCATTCCGTTGAAACGAATAAACTCACAGAGCGCCTTATGTCCAGAACAACGCGAGCACATAGCTTAGTCTTAGTGGCATCAGTGATGTTACTAGTTTGATTAGAAGAAACCATTAAAGAAAATATAATATTTGAGAATTGATGAAATTGGTTTGTTGAATGTTTGACTAAAAGTTGTCTCAATATTTATTAGTAGGTAATGAACGCAATCTGAAAACTACATTTTGCTGATGAGCACAAGAAAGATCGACTGTTGTTGACACCGCCACTTGGTAAATTTGCTAACGAAAGGATGTAAACCGTTTTTAATAACATTAATAATTGACTTGACATCTTGCTACTGACATAATGCTTCTTCATATGTATACATTAGAGCAAATTCATCAACTATTCATTCCGTTATAACTATAGATCAACAAGTTGAAAACAAAGTTGTTGGCAGAGAGTAACCAAAATAGGATGTTAAGTATACAATTAATTACGGTACAATGTATCGAAGCAACCAAGGACTCGGTTTTTTGATTTACATTCAAGTCAATATAAACACATTTACGAACTCGTTATGCTTAATGTTAAAGATATACACTGTTCGTCCTAAAACGGACAAAGTTATAAAACACCCTTTTTCTAATTCATAATCTTGAATTGATTTCTTCTGATATACACTCGATTACATATCATATTCCAAACAAAAATGAATACATCAAGCATCATTTCCTCAGTGGCCTCTGATCTTATTGTCTTGTCAAATGCTTCATGTCTAGTCTTATTATGCAAGAAATGTATGATGAAGTAATTGCAATTTTGAAAAATTGTGAGGATAAAACAATTTCTACACCAAAACATTGCTACTGGGTAAGCTTACTATTTTTGTGGTAATATGTTAAGATAGTGAATATTAATTTCTGAATAATTACATTAGGTGCATCAGGATTTTGAAATTCAAGAAGATGCCATAACTAAAGGCAAATTTATTCTGCTGAAAAGTCTACTAAGGTCAGCAAACCAGCTTTACCAGTATGTATGTAGGAGAAGTTATATGATATGCTGTATGAAATCTATGTGGCCTTAGAAAATCCTGGCATGAGTGCTTTTACTTTATCAAAAGTTGTAAGGTAAATGCAGGGGACAAAGGCTCAAAAGTATCTGTATCTGCCAAACCAACCATTGCCACAAAGTTCATGGCTCAGGTAGAGGTAGATCTTAGTGACTTGGGCCAAATGGTCATTGGCAGCTCCATTCAAAAACAAAAGAGACAAATAGAGTAGCAAAAGTACTCAAGAAGATTTTTTAATGTTTGGCCCACTGACATTGCTACATATGGATAATGGTACTGAGTTTACTGCTCAGGTCATTCATGACCTTGTGGATGGCCAGCAACAAGAATAATTCAAGGAAGAATAAGCTTTCAAAATGGAAGCAAATAAATTGTTCAACACTATTGTCTCAGGGATTGGATCAAGTCATATGCAATGAACTAGTCTTTGGACAGAAGCATAGGTCTAATTTAACTTTACTTATACCTACAGATGTAATAGTTGATGAAGGTCGAATAAACATCAAATTTGAAGAGCTGACATATTAATATCCAACTGACTACTTTTTAGAAGTGGAGGGTGAAAATGCTGCATTGTTAGAAGCAAGGAGCCAAGATACCTTCACTGACATCCTCTGCCACAGATGCATTATACAAATGCAAAAAGTCAGTATTAGAATAAAAGATGAAAATTCAGGGTTGGTGGCTGTTGTCTGCCTGGATGTCATGAACAGTTGTCTGGGTAGGCTTGTATCAGCAGATGGAGCAGAGATCATTTATCTACTTCATATTTTAGTAGGTCTGTTTAAGACTGGAGTGACTGGAATTACTCTAGATTAGATCCTTATATGTAATGAACCAATCAAAGTTTTCAACAAATCTGGACCAATGGAATTGCAGAATCATCAGAGAAATTTGGGGGTTGCTGTGCAAATTCCAACAAATGAAAGTCACAGCTACATGGTTAGATGATGAATGAAAATTCAATGAAGCTCTTTTATCAATTGAAGTCATTCCTTCTCCTAACAATAATGGTGCCAATATAAAAAAGGTAATCCTGAATTGTGCAGGACATACACATTGCACTTATCAGTTATAAAAGCATTGGGATCCATTCTAAATTTAAGACACAAGTTAATAATTTGATATAACATTATTCTTTAGTACAAGTCCTAAACAATCAACACAATTAAACAAGGCACAAAAACAAATAGGGATGGACAAACAGTACAGCTTCAAAAAGCCTCTTGCTTTGTATCAAGTGCTGTTTAAGCACAAGACACAATTTAAGGTGTTTAAAGTGCTCAAACTGTGTGGCACAGAGTTGCCCAGTGACCTCCTTGATGGTACAAACTGCAATGAAGTGCCAATGAAGCATTGACTTATCTAGAAAATTTATTCCAAGGAGCTAAAATCCCCAAGGACAATACATTAGAAGTAACTATATGGGGGTGACAAAAGTATTGCACAGTTGTAATTTACTTAGTTTGACAAATTTTTTATATGTAATAAAAAAACCAACTTTTGTACCACTTACTGCATGATTTGCCTAAATGATATCTTTATTTTGATTTAATAAAACATGTTGTGATAACCCCAAAATAAGTTAACCAAAAACCCCAATTTTTTACATTGGTGCATATGGGTTTTGCCAAAGAGCTTACTGATTCTCAAAAAGGTGCTATAATTGCAGCCAAAAAACTTGGTCACAATGATGCAGCAATTGCAAAAGTGATAGGATGTCATTGCACAACAGTTCTACAGTTTTTTGCAGCCCATGAATCAAAAAATTATCTGCAAAAACGATCAGGTTGGCCACACATTCTCAATCAACAGGATCAACAAAAATTAAAAACCACTGTTACTGCAAACAAAAAATCATGATGACAAAATCTGGGAGAAATTGCTAAAAAAATTTCTAAAGCTAAAAACTGACAAATTTCTATAAGAACAGTTCAACGTGTACTTCATGAAGAAAACTTGCACTCTTGCATTCCGTTAAAAAAGCCTCTCATTTCAGAAAAAAATGATTTGAGTGGGCAATGGAAAAAAGGAATTGAACTGTAAGAACGTCATATGGTCAGACGAATCTATTTTCTCTCAGTTCCAAAAGTCTGGGTGGGGCCGGGTATGGCGAGAACTGGGGGAAAAATATGATGAAAATTGTATCACATCGACAGTGAAGCATTCACCCCAAAAAATGTTTTGGGCATGCTTTTCTTATTTAAAACTGGGTCCTATTGTTTCTCTTCAAGGTTCTATAACTGGTGAAGTATATAAAGGTATACTTAAAGAATATGCCATTCCCACACTCAAAGCATTTGCCCGCCAAAGCAAAAGAAAGTTCATTTTCCAGGAGGACAATGCTCCTGTACACACCGCAAAGGTTGCACAAAACTTTCTCCTTTCCCAAAACGTAGAGGTGCTTAAATGGCCTCCTCAAAGTCCTGATCTCAACCCGATTGGGCACCTTTGGGCTGCAGTTGAAGTGGTGCTGTGAAAACACAATCCTCAGCCTTCAAACATTCGCAAACTTGAGAAGGCAGTAAAAGAAGTGTGGAATGTGCTTCCACAAAAAGTATATCATGATTTAATATTATCTATGCCCAATTGGATTCAAGCTGTGATTGATGCAAATGGAGGAAATACTAAATATTGATGCTTACTTTAAGTAAATAAAATTTCTTTTGGGTTTAATAAGAAAACTTTTTCAATATCTTAAATATAAAAGTGTGCAATACTTTTGTCACCCCCCTGTATATAAAAAGAAATATTACAAAGATTAATCGTATAATGGTGAAGAAACTGTGGGACTCAGATTAGCATTTCGGGGTGGATGTGTATTAGCATGCTTCAATGCCTGCATTAGTAAGCTTTTGTTTACAATTGTAATATTTCTCAAAGTCAGTAATAGATGAATAAGAGGCTTCACATGCCATGAAGTACTTTTTGTAAAAGGTATTTGAGCTTGGATAAGATGGAAATATCGTGGTATCCCGTTTGCATCTCTCACTAAAACGTTTAGACATAAATCCTCACCAGCCACTTGAATTCCAACAATACCAAATTGATTACTTGTTGGTCTACAAGTAATACTGACAAGACTTATTCCATCTAGGGTTTCCCTCCACAATTTTATAGAATCATCCTCTTTTTTTGAATTAGTGCAAATGACCTGTGAAGATTCCACATAAGCAAGTTCAAAAATCTTACCCCCACATTTTTCCATCACCATAACATTGGGTTTTTTCCCTATCGGCACTCTGGGAGAGTGTGAACTCTCTTCTTCATTTACCCCAAGACTTTTTCGGACCTTACTTGCTATACTCTGACATTCCGCAGTGCTCATACAAATACTACCATTTGGGAGATCATCCAAACTGGCCTGAAGCAAAGGTACAATGATATCTGTGATATAAGTTCCTTCACTTTGAGAACCATGCATTTTGCTAGTTGCAAATGCTGGATTGTTCCATACTCCCTCCCTGCATTAAGAATAGTTAAAAAGTTTTCTTAAAATCAAATACAAAGATAAAAAATACCTACAGAATGCTTAATATACGATTTGTTCGTTCTAACAATTTAACATCCCCCTCTTTCCATTTTTTGTTATGTACAATGTTCATGAGCACATCTGGCACTTCAATGTTATTAAGATTATTTATGAATTCATCACATCTTGAATAACTGAAGTGGGGAGAACACATTTCATATTCTCACAGGGCTCTAAAAAAAGTTGCTTCTGTCTCACCCCTAAATTTTTTACTAATGTTGAATCGTTGGAAATAATCATATTTGCCTCTGGATCATGCCACGAAAGTTTGGAAAGATTGATATGTCGTAGATTGGTTTTGAGGGCATTGTAGAGGGATATGTCTGCATTGGTCATCAGTGAGCCTAGCTTCGATATTAATATTAAGGTTCTTATATTCTGTTCTATCCTTCTCTTGTACGGTCGAGGGTTAGGCTCCTGCTTCATCTTCAGTCCTTTTACTGCATCCAACCCCACGACACTTTTGTATCCAACTTCCATCTACAGCAAATACGATAAGTTAGATTTGTGGCCACAAATTAAAAACCCCATATGTTTCCACTATAGAACTGCACACAGTTAGGGGGTAGCAGAAACCCTCGACATCGTGAGGGAATGTTCCTGACAACATTGCTCTTCCGGGCTGGCATCCCTAACCAGCAGTATATAAAACAAACTCTGTAGCATTTGCTGTGAAATCATCACAATGTGAATTATAGAAAAGATTAAATATGGGATGTACCAACCTGTGGTAAAACTTCCAACACTCTCATTCTTCGATCGAAATCAGTTATTTTTGTTAATGAGGAATTCACTGCACACTCCACTAAGTCTTTAACAAGAAGTAATGGTTGTAAAGCTGTTCTAGATAAATGACAGTAGTGGAACATATAGCATGGTGGAGCATCCCATATTTGGTAATGTACTACTGTGGCGCGAATTCAATTCAAAGAAAATCTTTTTTTATTAGGAGTGTTTTTTGCGAAAAATGGACGGCAGACAATGCATAGTGAAGATTTGTGAAGGCATTCCGACGTCAAGATGGAAGAAAATAATTGAAAACGTGTTAGTAAAGCAGAAGCAAACGGAACTTTGGCTTCATATTACAAAGACCATAAGGATGAGTACATGTATGAGCTGTTATAATAGCATTGTAGTTAGCGGTAGTTCTAGGTTCAAAGAACATGCAGAGACCACCAAAAAGACGCCATAATGACAATAATCTTTAATAGAGAGATAATAGAAGGGAGACCACCAATATTTTCATTTTCTCAGCTTAGATCTATTATGGAAGACGCAGATGAACGATTGGGCTCATTATTTGATGAACTCGAAGAAGCATCATGTATTAGAAAGAAGAATGAAGATGAAAGAAAGAAAGCTGACCGGTCTTTGGCATATCAATGTTATTTGATGTGCTGGAATCGGAGCAAAGCAATACAACTGTGGGGTTTAAACGGTGAATCAGTGGGGGATAATATCTCATGTTTAAGATTCTGACAAAACTTTTGTATAATCGGGAAAAGGTTGAGAAGAAATCGACCATTTATAGTTTGAAATGTCTCCGGGAAGAGATGGAAAAGCGCGACTCGCGATTAAGTTCTTTTTTGATTCAATCCATCATGCAACTCATCCAGCGACTAAAGTGACAAATCCTTAGATAAGCCTGCTATCTTATTTGCGGTAATCGGAACTCGAAAATAACAGCCTTTAAGGAGGCTATATCGTATTTTGTAGATTTAATGGGAGCTTCTACAGAAGCTATAGACGCATTACCGTATGCTGGGATAACAATTTCAAGAAGACATCTGGACAGGCAGAAGGCGATTATTGCAGACGAACACCCGAAAAGAGTTGCGTCGTATATACAGACCAGAAAGAATAATACGATGGTGATAAATACCACAGCATTCATGCAAAAAGAATGCCGGATACCTGTTCGACATCAACCGTGGCACATATGACAACATTGGTGCTTAACAACATCAACGTTATTCCTATTCCGAGAACCACAACAAATGGTATATCAATCCATAACCCGAAACTAATCGATTCTGATCTTGTTTATAAGAATTTAGTTAATCGATACATGAAGCGAATGGCTAAATCGTTTAATGATCAATACTGTCGTGAAGTATCGACGGAAGAAAGACTTGAGAATATGACTCTTCACAAATATGACGATCCGACAATAATAATAAATGACTCGAACGTTATTTCTACTGACGAATCTAATACTGCTGAACGATTTATATGAAATGCACTGGTACTAAGTGATTTTAACGTAGCAAGTGTCATACTGTTCAATAATGTAGTAACCTCTTGATTCGGTTAAGGTTTCATAATTTATTAAAGGAAACAAAAAGACGACAAGAAAGACGTAATACTGACTAAATGGCTGCACTTATTATTTGGTTCAATGCTCAAAATGTCTTCTCATATTGCGATACTTGATGTTTGTGAACAAACATATCCAAATCGCTCTGTTTTCTCGAAAAGCAATTCTCTTGAAATTAATTTCTTTTTCAATTTGCTCAAACCTTGGACGAAAGAATTATCAATAGTAAAATCGCCATCTGGTTGTTGTTGAAGAAAAGATACGATGCCATCAACAAACGTAATGGCTTGTGCATAGGATACCGGTTCTGTCTCCAAATCGCCATCCTCCGATTCATTTGACTCGCAATTCTTTACGATTGAAACGATTTCTTCGTCTGGTTGGTCAAGAGGCAATCGTCCAATAAGATCTTGAATTTCTCCGATAGCATCAACACCAGTTCAGAATCGTCAGTCAAATATTCATCAAGAAAGCCGTCTGGTAGAATACCAGTATTTATCCAACAATTGCGTACTGTCTCTCTAGTTACATTTTGCCAAGAAATACCTGCGAAATTGATCGTATCTTTGATGTTTATTGGTTTAGAGAGCTCATCGGAATCCATAGCGTCAAAAGCGTCTATACGAACACTTTTCTATAGTGCGCGCCTATTTTTTTATTATAGTTAGTACTACGTATGTGTATGTACATAACAATTGTTGCACAACCCCGCCTTAAAACTCCGCATCACAAGTGCAGTAGTGTTTGGAGGAAGGTAATAAAGTCTAATATTTGACGGTGTAAAGTTTTCTTCGAGAGTATGTGTAGAGAGAGGAGTTGTCTAAAAGGAGAAGAATTGAACGGCCAGCACGTTTCATTTGGTTATCGAGCTGTCTTATATAGTGATTAAATATGGATGCTTGCATCCAAGCAGAGCAATAATATCGATGTTGCGAAGTGGACGAGGATTTTTATATTTGTATACTAATAAAGGAGTAAGCTTATCATCGCCGGTGGCGTTGCATGCAAGTAAGATCGTAATTCGGTCTTTAGACTTTTTCTTTCCAGAAATCGGACCACTCGCCAATGATTTATCAGGATCCATTCGCAATACAGCCTCAGGCTGATAGTTCTTAATTATTTCGCGGATTTCAGTTTGAAACCGGGGAATTTCTTCAAGAGGGGCACTGGCAGCTTCACCTTGGCGTTTATACTCTTTTATATGATATTGTTTCCTGAAATTTGTTAACCATCCTTTAGAGGCATTAAAATCTTTTACGTCAAGAGCTTTTGCAAGTTTTTTTTTTTTTATTATTTCACTTGTGAATCGTCTGCGATGCAGCAATAGCTCGAGATATCCAAAGAGCAACAGCCTCTTCTAACAGAGGATACTTCCCAGTTCTTTGTCGCTTCATAATAGCCTTATTAGTATTTAGATCAAGTGACAACCATCTTATCTTATCACGCACAATATTTGAAACGGTTGCCTCGGAATATCGAATTGCTTCGCTATTGCAACTTGGCTAACACCACGCTCTTTTAAACGACATATTTCAGCTTTCTGGTCACCGGACAAACTTTTTCTCTCTGAATTGGCTTTTTTTTTCTTTCTCTTTGTAGCAGCTTCATGCTGTTAAAATTCTCTCTCGCCTTAGATTGGTCAAAATACATCAGGTGGTACAATCTTCAAGATGCAATCTACTAATATTGTTATGAGGAAAAACTTTACTAAGGTTTGACAAAAGGATTTGCACTATATAGTAGAACGATCTAAACTGGTATGTAAGTGATAGGAGAAAGATGTTTTCTTTTGGAATAATTGAGGTATTGGGGCAAGTGTAAGGCATATTCGTTTATTGGAATTTGATTTGATCCACCGCAAGTTGCAAGTTTGCTGGGTTGCGTAGATTAGTAATAAGACTATTTGGAAACACGTTTGCAAAGGATAAGTCATTGTTTCTGACTACCCATTCTGCAGATTGTGGGTATAATAAACGTGAGCAATAAGAACAGGGAACGCATGGAAACTGAGCGTAATCTTCTTTATAAAGTAAGCGTAAAACTTTTTGTAGTTCATTGAAGGATGGCAGCATGCGATGAGTGGAAGGTAAAATTAATGGACCACAAATTAGTAACATTGTAGAGGTTTATTTAACCAAAACGGGGGCTGTGCAACAAAGCAACATGCAGGCATGTATGACAGACGACGATTATAGGTTGTACTACTGGTATTGATCATGAGACCTTGGCTATTACAGTAGAGATGTAATAGATACACTCCCTCAAGCTTGGGTGGTGGTGGGTGAAGAACATGAAGAACGAATGAATGTCAAGAATATGTCATAAACGGTAAGTTCATGCAGCAAATGATGGTACTTTTATGCTAATAAATAATGTGTATCAGAAAAAAATCGTAAAATAACATTACTGATTCTGATTCAACGCTTCCTTCAGGTGTTTCATTTCTCGTACCAGTACTGCTCCCGGCAGTCGATTGATTCTAATATCAACGATAATATCGCCTACATCGTGACAGGAATCACGACATTATGTTAACTTTGCCAACGAACAAGTTCCAAAAAGAAAGTTCCGATTGGCTCAACGACTACATTCTCTTATAATAACTTATTAGAAATTAGTGGGACAATAACTGGCTCAGTGAACGAGATAATAACTGTAAGTATTCAATCTCGATGGTGACCGAGCGGGTGGCAACGAGATGGAAATACTAGACTAACTGATAAACTGTATTAAGTTCTGTCAATTATGAAAATAGCTTGGACGAGTTGGCTCGTCTGGATGATGACACTTGAGCAGTGGTACCACCACCACCACCAGCAGCAGCAGTAGCAGCAGCAGCAGAAGCAGCAATAGAAGCTCCAATGTTGTGAGCGTAAACAAATAATCACGGCTCATCCAGTAGGTCTTTTAATGAATACATAGTCGATACCTTTTGTAGTTCCCGAGTTCTGGGGGGAATAGTACCGTACGCCCGAGGAGTCCTTTAGAACCATTACCGATGTATTAAGACGTCAATGCGCTTCAAATTCCCAGAATCACAATCAATCGTCTGACGGAACGTTTAGACGTACATACGATACGAAGAATATCAGCGGTATTTGCTCCAGCCTTTTCATCGAGAATGTCCTTTTACTTTTCCAAATCATTGGTACCGCAAGATGGACTGGTCCACCCGAATTTGAAAACTTTGATTCATTGAACGAACCAATGTTCGAACAAAAGAGCATAGCGGCTACTATTTCGCATGTGATCAGAAAGATGTCGTATTACATATTTGTCCAGTTCATATGGTATACGCCGGTAATAATATTCTGTCTAGTGACGTTAATGCGAGATTCGCCTGCATGGATTTATGCGCTTCTTAACCTGGGAGAAGTGTTGAAAGCACATGCAACGAGAAATATAAATATTCCAAAAAGATGAAGTTTACACAGAGAAAGACTCTACCAGGCTCTCAACAAATAGTCACGACAACATCCATTAATATTGATCAATTGTTACAACCAACACAAGGATCCACGCCATCAAACACCCACCTTTGAGAAATGTCCCTTTCATCACTGACCAACCACAGAAAACTTGCGTCCGTCGTCATCGGTCAACCTGATACTCAGTCGCAGGGAACAATCGACAACCCTTTCCAACCCAGCCCTTATAAATCCGTACTTCTCACAGACAATCCAATAGGACGGAGTCTGGATTCCGAAGAACTTGACGGATTGATTCCTATGGTTTTCTCTTCACCGCCGACAAGAACATACGTCGAAAGACGAAGTCCTGCAAGACTCAAGTGCCAAAGACAAAAGTCCAAAATTGAAACAGCGAGGACTCGCCATCCTTTAGTGGATTCTGAAGATGATATTATCTTTGTATCACTAGTAAACATTTGGACATTGATGTGTCAGTTACTCGACCAGGCCAAAATAATTTAGGTTTCGCAAACGAAAAAACGCCAAAGGCTTATATCCCTCGAAAGTTTACCGACGGCCTGTTTGAGAAAGAAGGTAGTATACTCTTACTGACAAGAGATTACCCTGACCCGCAAAAAAAAATGACGGTCAACCTCGCCAACAAATAACATTATTGCCGGCATTAACTTTCATCCATTCTTGCCGGAATATGAAGAATGATGACAAAGATAATAGAGATACGGGGAAGCGTAATTGGGGGGAATTATTCTAGTAGCGATGATATAGACCCATTCTTATATGCTGTTGAAAATTTTCGCTGCTGTCTTGTAAAAGTATTTTACATGCTTGGCACTGAATCAATCAACGCGAAAGAATGATCTCAACACCACAGCGGATTGAACTTTCTATATTTGACGCAACAGACGGAAATTGCAGGGGGATGTTTCTGAGTACCAGTAATTGTTAAGGCAATTGTCTAAGCAATCTACAAACATTCGTGCGGAGTGCCTGACAAAAGCCACAAAGTCTCGAAGGGATTTAATTTGTTATTAGTTGTCAATTATCTGTTTAACAAATTGACATTTAATTAAACGATAGAAACAGCCAGCAAACTAACGATGGTGTCTGAGAATTCGTATAAAGAATTACTAGTCTGGCTGCGTTTGTGTATCTTTTACGAAATCCCGTACATGTTCTCTACTGGTGTGATCAAACCAGATAACGAATTCCCTTTGTACTATTACTATGTTTAACTTCATCATAAAAAGCATACATCGTTTTGCGCTACGCGTATATTAATTTGGAGATAGTGGTACAGTAGGACGTATAGCCAAATATATTGTTTGTTTGTTTGTTCCATGTTTAATAGAAGGCGCATGCATACCATGTGATACTTTAGTGGAACATTCTCAATATAATGGTTACAAGATTGTATGTTAAACAATAAAGGCTTTATTCAATTCAATTCAATTTAATCTTCGCGCTCGAAATAAGAGAGCTTTCGAACTGCTGTATTACAATTCATTTAAACTACATCGGACGGTCAGTTTTTTGTGTTGACTTTATAGCGATTAGCCGCAGTAGGACTTTTTACATCTAATTTTACAAATAAACCTTTTATCGAAGTGTAACTTTCGCAATCAATGTTAATTACGTACGTGCCAAGCTACAAATAAACACACTGCAAGTTAAAAAAATTATTGCTCTGGAGAACCATTAAGTAATTTGCTTATGGTCAAATTACCTTATTTATTCAAAAGAAATTAATTAATTAAACCCAACAAAACGAAACGCTTGCTAAGTCTTTAGCAAATGTAAGCAGACGACAGCTAACCAGCGTTCATTCTTGTGACAGAACGAGGAACAAAATAATATGTTTCAAGAACCGCAAAGAATTATCCAAAACAAATTAAACATCGGGTGCTTCTTAATGACAGCGTTTACAAAATTTTTGGTAAAAAGAAAGAGGGAATGTGAGCGTTCAACAAAAATAAACAGTATTTATGTTACCTTGGTAACTTATAGTGCCAAAATTTTAACTTTCTTAGTTTATAGCAGGCTCAATTACGCATGCTTGGTGAACAAAAAAAGTAAAAAAGCTTTAGAAAAGTCTACTTTTTTTAAAAGACCGCCCAAACACTTGCTAATTCTGAGAAGTACATTTTTTTAGCATTATAATAACGCTTGTTTATTATTGTTGTACTGTTTAAACTTAAATTATTGTAACCGGTCTGACCTAAAGTTTTACAGACGCTTGGTAAAGATAAAGCATATAGTTATTTATTGGCTGTAGGAACTCCTTACCATAAATTCTTTTCTTCTTTTGTATACGTGTATTAATAAAGTCTGAAGACATATGTCACTTAATGTAACTATATTCTGCATTTCGTATTAAAACTTGCATTTATATTACTAATAACAATTATCATTTACGTCGGTCATCTCGAGTGGGCCATTTACGTGGTTTATTAACTTATAACACATTGATTTATTTATGCCGCTACAAAAGCGAAAACAACTAAGCGATAGCAAGTAACCTAATATTATAATGCATATAATTTCAAGTTCTCAAATAAACAGGCTAACGAGAACAGACGTTAGTCCGAGCTTGCAAATGTAAATTGGATTGGTGGACAATTCAACTAGTTACTACAATAGACCCAAGTATAAGATAAGCAGATCAATAAACTAGTAACTGAAACGTTATATGAACTCTGTGTAAATAATTAAATTTGTACTGCCTCTTGTTCGAACATGTGTGTCTATATTTAGTAATAACCGAATAAATGTTCCTAATAGATAAGCTCGTTTGTTGGGCTAGTGTTGATAATAAAAACCGCTTATATAACACATTTCCCTTTTTCTGAAATAGAATTGTAGATCCGTTGCAATTATGGTATCGTTCAGAATTGATTGGTTCAATTGTAGATCGATCACCCTTCGACAGTTTTCTGGTAGGTGTCGTACATCAGTATTAGTGTTAAACTTAAACAAGGAGCAAACAAATGAGCAGACTACGAACGCATGGATACAAACGATAAGCTTAGAACGATCAACATGTTACCTTTCCAGTCGGCTCATTAGGGCTTTAATGTCGGTCTTTTGCTTGGTCATCCGATTGCACCAATGAACGTCAGCACAATAATTATTTGGTAACATGCCCTATGAACGTCGTACCACAATAGAATAATAGAGTAACAAATAAATTCAATAAGCCAAGGGAATGTATTGAAACGATGGGAATCTTATAAGAGAAAAGTCGATAGATGGTCAGTCCTGTTACTATTCACATTAAGGTAAGAAGAAAGAACATTCATTGTCGCCAATAGCATAGATAAGTATAAGGAACAACGAACAATGAAATATTTATTATCCTGCATGTTGATACAAATTAATATTACCGAATTTGGCATTTATTGTTCGATATACATTGATCATTTGTTGTTTCATTTTTTTTCTTTGTTGATTTTCTAAACTCCGAAACAATGAAACAATAACTTATATATATACGCCCCTTGTATTTGCATGTAGGCTTGGAACAATACGTAAAACAGAACAATGAGTACAATAGAGAACAGCTATGCACAATGCCGGTGAGTAATAACAAGCCATAAAAACATCATCTATAAAGGCAATTAAACATGCAAGAGAAAACACAATACTACTTATCAACAGTCAGCGATCATTTCTCGATATAACTCTGTTTCACTCGTTGACATGTTTTCTCACATACATTAAATTCTTTACACATTGCAGATGGCTTCTCCGACTAGATAACTGTCCAGACCGCGACTTTTTTGTGCTTACTATAATCTTCTCCTTCATTACCTTCACCTTTCTGGCCTTACTCTGCATAGTACTTCTCTTCTATCGCCAATACACTAATAAAGCCTCTCTTTGGTCCGGTCATTTGTTTTCCCCTCTCGATGGCTTGCTTTTTTTCGCATTCTTATGGTCCGTGCTACGCAACATTTCGTCTGCTATAAAACTGCATAATTGGCTGCCTGATACAACATGGAGATATGTGATATTCGAGGCAAGCTGGTCCTTTGCAACAATATCGGTGGCTACGTATGCATCAGGATTGTTTTATGCGATACCGAAAATGCAATTCAACCAGCGTACAGGCGCAAACTCTAAGAAATTAATTTGGTTGCCAAAAACAGTCTTCATACCATATTTTTATTGGACTTTTGTTATTGGAAACATTGTTGTGTTTGAAATTTTGACAATATTTGCGGTAAAATATATGTTTATGGGTGACCATAAAAAAGAAAATGTGATTTGGGGCGTACATTGGTTTGGATATGCTCTTTGTCAAACTATATTGGCTATAGTGTTGATATATTATGGGTTAGTAAATTGTGCTTGAGAACGAGATAGAACGTGTGCGATTATAATGATATAATATTCGAACTAATTTCCTATTGTTCTAGACAAATGTTGGTTTACATGGCTCGCGAGAGCATTGCTCTAACGGTTCACGAGGCTGAGAAAGAAAAGTACAAGGCTTTTGCCGACAGGGTAATTATATTAATATTACTATTTATCTATTTAATAATCGCTATTACAAAAGCTTACGAAACACTGGTTCGTAGATGCGTTTGACTAATATAAGTCTAAGCATTTCCTTTGGCTGGTATATATGCGCTCTGTCAGCAATGAGTTTTGCACCTGATTTTATCTATTCAACGGGGTTGATTTCGAAAGTAAATGCCGTCATGTCTGAAATATGGTCAGGATTTTGTGGTATAATTGTAGTCGCTGCTCTCTTGTATAGGTGAGTATAAGGATATGAGATCATTTCAAGAATAGTTAATATTGGATTAAATCTAAGAGCAATTATTGTTTCTATTGTAGTGAGAGAACGTCCCCTAAAAAAGTTTCTTTTGAAGATTTGTCTTCAATATGGACCCTTTACAATGAAGATGAAGAACGTAGCATGACTGAGACTTAAAATGTAACGCTAAATAAGCTCTAGCAATTGTTATTCAAAATAACCAAATGCGAAAAAAGATTAATATGTAAATAGATTAATAGATAAATTTATGTGCATTTGGCGCAAGAGAAAAAAACACATTAATATAAATATAAGTATTAAATTGTCTAACACAAATTCTATAAACAACATGAACAAATGAAAAAAATAAAATATTTGATACAATTTACTAAATAAACTTACCACGTTTAAATGTCCATACTACTTTTTGTTAATTACTATATTACACTTAAACATGTCTTTGAAAACGGTAAACATTAAAGTTTTGGCTAAACGGTTTTAAATAGCAACCGACTACGTTGCTTCCTTACACTATACGTTTTCATATAAGGTCAGCCAAACTTTATGTAACTTATTGCTATAACTTTTACAAAAAAAGTTCACTATACTAATACTTGTTATCCTATTAAAATAATAATAGGCTTTTGTGCAGTCTCCAATATAAGATTGTCTGTTATAATGTACCATTGAAGTGACAGCTTTCGATTAATTGTGGTTCTCGATTAACGTTATGGGTTGAATGGTTTTCTACGCAGGGTTTTTAACTGATAGGAGTAAATGCAAGTGAATGTCGCTGTCGTTGTTACACTGATTTCAACTAAGAAGCGAGGGATTGTTTGAATGTAACTAACTAGTAGAAAAAAAAACACCAGTATACATCAAGCTAAACTCTACAATTATATCCACGTAAGTCGACGCTGTTAAACCCACTGTTACGGTTCTGCATCAACATACACTGTGAATTAATTTACAGACAAAATTCATCGAAAAGTTTTATTAATTTGATTGACATCCTGGCCATACAAGACTGTATTGGCAGAACTTTCATTGCCTAATTACAAATAAGTGTAATTGAATAGGAAAATCTTTGAACAAACATGAGCAGTAAACTACACGCTTATTCAAAATCTCGAGTTACTAAAATATAACCCAAAAGATAATGTTAATATTGTATTGACGTCATTTGCGTCAACGTGTAATTAATTAATGTCTTCATACCTGCTATTGAATTGTAACTGTTTCTCGGTTTAGGCAAATCCCCAGTAGGTAAAAGTGTGCTAGAATATCTACTCTCCTTCTCAAGACGCGATAAGGGTCTTGCATCATTATAATGAACGGCATTCCATATATAGTTGTCAGAATTATCCTTGTCCACTTTTTCAATAAGCCTGTTAATATAAACCGGAAGTGAATCTGCATCTGGACGCTTGTCAGGATCAGCATCACAGCAACGCTGAGCAAGTTTTTTGTATTCTTTTGGTGCTGAATCAGGCATCGATGGTCGTAACCCACATCACATACTAAATCTCTATTAAACTGCCGCTCTCGAAAAGGTGGTTCACCAGTGGCAATCAAATACACGATAATACCAAAAGAATATATGTGTCTGACTTTTGAGTAAATTTGCAAGTATGGAAAACTTCCGGCGCCCAACAGTCCAAAAATCATGTTCGATTCGACAGCAAACGTTACATCCTTGACAGCAGCAACTTTCCGTTCGGATATCCTTTGCGTATTCTCTTTAAAACCAGTGGGGAATCTAATAGAAACTCATTTTCTAAACTCTACGCCACTCTTCTGAGACGTCATCGTCTTCTGACCTAACCTCTTCTGGATCAATATGCCCTCCAGGAACTTTACGTCTGTCCTGTTTTGTCTCGCCTATCCCAAACAGCTTTCTGAATAACGTACTAAATACAAAATGCCATTTATCGTACGAGCATGGAAGCACTTGAGACAGTACCACGTAACCATTAGCAACATAAAGTACTCAGTGATGTAAAGATCCATCTGGTCCGTGCTGTGTAATCCATCTGATCCGTGCTGTAAAGATTCACCCGGTCCGTGTTGTAAAAATCCATCCGGTCCGTGCTGGTCCGTGCTGTAAAGATCCATTAGTATATCCATTGCCTGACGGATCCAAGTTTACCTCGTTGGCAATGCTGGAGAGCGCGGCAATGCCTTGTCATAGTGAAAATCGATCAGTTTCCATGTTAATAATTACGCCGCTTGTTAATAATAACGCATTGACATAACTAAAGCAGTACGGATATTGTTGAATATTACCGAAAAAAGAAACGCTAAGGCTATCTGCAAGTGTCCTCAGATCAAGAAAAGAAGACAAAGAACGGGCGGTGAGGTTCTAGAAAAGAATTCCATTTTAAAGACTAGTCCGCTTGCCACAAAAAATGCGGAATTGATGATGTGTAGATGTAAAAATAGATATAGTGCGTCATGTATTAAGCGCAGTTTTCATACTAACAAGATAACAGTTTTGAATTCGGTTGTTGAATGAACAATAGGACAAGTTTATCAGGAACAACAACCAAAAAAGAACTATTTACCTCTAATAATCGGCGGAGGATTGGGTTTAGCCGAAACTTTGTTCTCCTTGTCTTTGACTAGTGTGATTACAAATGCTGGCAGCGGGAAAGAAACACCATATGGATAGAGAACATATATGCCTGCCCCGCCAGCCAATTTGCATGGTATAGCTCCATACTTTTGAAATTGGATCTAAACAGTTCCTCCCCAAGGCACGTTTGTAGCGAGACTAACAGCCAATTACGGTTGATTATCTACTAGTGCAGCGTCTTCCCCTCCCCTCCAACGAGTGGTCTGGTACGAGAGCTTCGGCTTCGTGTCGTGTTCGAGTCCGTCTTCTTATTAACAGTTTTGGTAGGGAAGTACGTAGTATTGGCAAAAATACCTACTAAATATGGTAGGCGTTACACACCGCATCGGGTTATTAGTGTGGAGTTGAAAACTTCTTATTTCGAACGATGTCCTTAGTTACAGGGGTTAATAATCCAGCGATTGACAACTTGGTTCAATCCTCCTTGGAAAGTGAATATAAATACTTACGACTTGAATGGATTCCTTGCTCGGAATTCACCAACATAGAGCCAACTCAAATTGACAATGTCTACAACGCTACTCGCAAATACACACTAGACGATGAAGTCGTTGAAAGCATGATAATGCTGCTATGCCTTGGAAATGATGAGATATGTACACCAACACTTGTGAGTGAGTTTGCTAGAATATACTCACTTC